TTTTTGTTTGATATTAGTATAGCCACCCCAGCTCTCTTTTGGTTACTATTTGCATGAAATATTTTTTTTCTACCCTTTTACTTTAAACTTATCTATAGTGTGTCTCTTCTAAACTGAATATAATTGGATCATGTTCTTTAAAAACCCGCTGGCTAATTTCAACCTTTCATTTAAGGGCTTAATCTGTTTACATTTAAACTAATTACTGACAACAAATAATTCCTCTCCTTTTTTTTTTTATTGTGGTAAGAGCACAACATGATATCTACCCTCTTATTTACTTCTTTTTTTAAATTTTATTATGTTATGTTAATCACCATACATGACATCATTAGTTTTTGATGTAGTGTTCCATGATTAATTGTTTGCGTATAACACCCAGTGCTCCATTCAGTACGTGCCCTCCTTAATACCCATCACCGGGCTAACCCATCCCCCTACTCCCCTCCCCTCCCCTCTAGAACCCTCAGTTTGTTTTTCAGAGTCCATCATCTCTCATGGTTCATCTCCCCCTCCGATTTTCCCCTTTCGTTTTTCCCTTCCTACTATCTTCTTTTTTTTAACATATAATGTATTATTTGTTTCAGAGGTACCGGTCTGTGATTCAACAGTCTTCTTATTTACTTCTTTAAGTACACAATACAGTATTGTTAACTGTCAGTACAATGTTGTACAGCAGATCTGTAGAATTTATTCATCTTGCCTAACTAAAACTTTATACTTGTTGAACAGCAACACTCCATTTCTCCTTCCCCCAGACCCTGAAAACAGCCATTTTACTTTGTTTCTGTAAATTGATGATTTTAGATACTTCATATAAGTGGAATCATGCAGTATTTGTCCTTCTGTGACTGGCTATTTCACTTAGCATAATGTCCTCCAGGTCCATCTATGTTGTCCCAAATGGCAGGATTTCCTTCCTTTTCTTTTAAGGATGAATAGAATTTCATTTTATGTATGTATATACCACATTTTCTTGATATATTCTTCTGTCAATGGACATTTATGTTGTTTCCATTTCTTGACTATTGTGAATAATTCTGCAATGAACACGTGAGTGCAGATATCTCTTCAAAATCCTGATTTCATTTCCTTCAGATAAATACACAGAAGTGGGATTTCTGGACCATATGGTAGTTCTATTTTTAGGTTTTTGAGAAACCTTCATACTGTTTTACATAGCACTGGCATCATTTTACATTCCCACTGACAGTGTACAAGGGTTTCACTTCTTTATATCCTTGTCAACACTTGTTATCTCTTCTTTTAAAGACAGTCATCCTAACAAGAGTAAAATGATATTTAATTGTGGTTTTGATTTACATTTCCCTCATGATTAGTGATGGTGAGCACTTTTTTCATATACCTGTTGATCATTTGAACGTCTTTTTTAAAGAGATGTCTATTTAAGTCCTTTTTCCATTTCTAAATTGTGTTACAGTATCTCCCCTTATACATTCCAAGACCCCAGTGGATATTTGGAAATTCAGATAGTACTGAACCCTATATATACTATGTTTTTCCTATATATACATACCTTTTATAAAGTTTAATTTATAAATTAAGCATGGTAAGAGATTAACAACTAATAATAAAATAGAACAATTATACCAATATACTGTAATAAATGCGATGGGAATGTACTCTTTCTCAAAATATCTTCTTGTGATGATGTGAGATGATAAAATGCCTATGTGACAAGATAAAGTGAGGTGAATGATGTAGGTCTTGTGATGTAGCATTAGGCTACTGCTGACCTTCTGAAAATATGTCAGAAGGAGGATCAGCTGCTTCTGGATAGCAGTTGATTACAGGTAACTGAAGGTGAAACTGCAGGTAAGGGGGAACTACTATATATTTTTTTGTTTTGTTTTGCTGTTGAGTTGTAGGACTTCCCTATATATTTTGGATATTAAGCTTTTATCAGATATATGGTTCGTAAATATCTCACATTCCTTAAGTTGCCTTTTCACTCAGAGCAAAATTCCTGAGATGCAACAAAAGCAATACTAAGAGGGAATTTTATAGTGATCCTCTACATTAAAAAAGGGGAAAAGCTCCTAAATAAGCAACCCAATTTCACACCTCAAGGAACTAGAAAAATAAGAACAAACGAAGCCCAAAGTTATCAGGAGAAAATAAATAATAAAGATCAGAGCAGAACTAAATGAAATAGAAAATAAAAAAAAAATAGAAAAAATTAACAAAACTGAATTATTTTTTTGGAAAGATAAACAAAAGTGACAAACCCTTAGTTTGACTAAGAAAACAAGAGAGAAGACTCAAATAAGATCAGAAATGCAAAAGAGGACATAACAACTGATGCCACAGAAATAAAAAGGATTATGAGAGGTTATTATGAATAATTAAATGCCAACAAATTGGATAATCTATTAGAAATGGATACAAGCATAGGAACACACAACCTATCAAGATTGAAAGATGAATAAATAGAAAATGTGAAGAGAGCAACAATGAGTAAGGAGTGATTCAGAAATTAAAAGCAAAGAAAAACCCAGGATCAGATAGCTTCATTGGTGAATTCTCCGGAACCATTAAAGGATAATTAACACCAATCTTTCTTAAATGCTTCTAAAAAATTTAAAAAGAGGTTACACTTCCAAACTGATATTGGTAGAGGATGGGCAGAATAATGACTAGCTCCACCTCATGTTACTTTTCCTTATATAGTCTTGCTGATGCTGGATGAGATTGCGGGATTAAGGGGGAAGGCTCAGCTTCCTACTGGGGATAAAGTGGATTGCCAAATGGCTCCAACTTGTATCATGTTGTTCAGTCTTACTGACATTGTGTGGCGTAGAGAATTAAATGGTTGCTGAAACCTGCTAATACTACCATTTCTGGGGAACCAGAGCACTGCCAGCTTAAGATGGGGAATGGAAGATTAGCTCCCTGCTGTGCCCCTTTGAGTTCTTTCAGAGTCTTCCTATGTTTTTTTGTTGTGTTATGTCCAGAAAGTTTTTTCTTTCATGGGTAGGTCCTGGGAGGAGTAGGGGAACTTCACTTTGGCAGAACTGAAATTCTCTGCGATGGTTTATTTTTAATTAAAGGATAGCAAAATTGAGCTCTTATTGTGAAATCTTGTTAGCTGGAATGGTTACTTGTATTTGTTCACAGATTTATATTTAGAATGTAAGGGGAAAGTCTAAACTTTTCCATTTCTTTAAGAAATGAGAGGACAGTTTCACAATTTTCAAGGTCGTAATTATTACCGTTTAAGCATTATGAATAAACTATGAATACCTGATGGATAACATGAGGAAAAACTTATGAAGTTATACATTCTCCTCAAAATAATCTAGAAATTCAACGAAATCTTAATAAATATCTCCAAATCTGTATTAAAAGGATGTTAGTGGAATATTGTCACCAAGATGGCAGAACAGAAAGCCCCAGATCCTCCTTATCCCACAGAAACATGAACATAACATTGCACCGACCGACTGCTTTCATGAAAACCAGTTAAGAAGTTCCTGAACTACAGGCCAGCACATGCCTAAGAAGAACCGCATTGAAGACAGAAAATTGGTGGTAGTTACTCACCAAAGCTCCCACTTCTGGTACAGCACAGTGTGGTAATGAGAAAACTTCCAACACCTGGCTTCCTTCCAGGGAGGCAAAGAGAAGAGTGGAATGCACAACAAACATTCTGACTTTTCAGGGGGTTGCATTAGGGACTGGGGTTCTCTTGCATGGGTCAAAACACTGACAGGAATTGGCACCAGGTTGAGGGCTGCTGAGAACAAAGATCAATTTATGGTCTAAGGCCAAATAATCTACAGTACTGAGGACAGACACTAGGTAGAGCTCATGTGCTACAGCTTGCTACAACACCAGCAAAACTCTAGGACTACAAACAGACATCAGGGGAAGTTTCTGAGTAGAAACAGGGAAACATCTTCAAATATGAGATTATGCATACAAACCCAGAAAAGATGCACCTCCAGAAAAGGCTTGAGAGGCCTCCAGAATCTCAAGGTAGGCTTATTGGTGAAGGTCATCCTTATACAAAGCTAGACTGTAAAGACTAGGTGAAGTGGCTGTTTTTTCAAATGCTCAAGTCCCAACAAAAGATAATAAGACATACAAAGAAACAGGGAAATATGGCCAAGTTGAAGGAACAAAATAAATCTCCAGAAATTCACACTAAAGAAATGGAGATATATGAGTTACCAGACAAAGAATTCAAAACATGTCATAAGGATGCTCAATGAACTAAAAGCATATTTTTTCTTGCATAAAAATTCTAAATGACTTGTATAGATACTTTGCACTAAAAGAAAGAGAGCATAAATCCCTACACCTTAAATATAGCCTGCTGAGTGAAGTGAATTCCTTTTCCAAAATACAGTATTTTAAGGGGGCTATGGACAAAGGACAATTTTCCAGTGAAGAAGTTTGGCAAAATCTACCTCAGCTAAGTGATCAATGTCAGTATCAATAGTGATAAGTCATGTTGAGAGTATTTATCTTTATACGAAGTGATGAAAATGGCAACTTACCTATGTTGTATTCCTCAAAAAAGAAAAACCATAATCCTAGTTTAATCATGGTTTAAAAATTATAAAAATTCCAATAGAAGGATAGTCTACAAAACACTTGACCAATATGCTTTAAAACTGCCAAGGTCACCATGAATAGGAAAAGTCTGAGGACTTTTCACTACCAAGAGAAGCCTAAGGAGACGCAACAATAAACGTAATATAGAATCCTGGATGGGGTTCTGGAGCAGAAATACATCAGGTAAAAACCAAGGAAATTTGAATAAGCTATGTACTTTAGTTAAAAATAGAGTATTAATATTGGTTCATTAATTACAGTGAACATACCATAATAACATAAGCTGTTGATAATAGGAGAAACCATGTGAGGGGATATATGGGAACTCTGCACTATCCTTTCAATTTTAATGTAAATGTACAGCCATTCTTAAATAAAGTCTCCTTTCCTTTTTTTGCTTTTTAAAAAAATTTTATTAAGTGCTTCCTTCGGCAGCACATATACTAAAATTGGAACAATACAGAGAAGATTAGCAGGGTCCCTGTGCAAAGATGACATGCAAATTTGTGAAGCATTCTATATTTTTGAAAACACGATGGTCAAAACCTTTGGGATGCAGCAAAAGCAGTCCTAAGAGGGAAGTATATAGCAATACAGGCCTACTTCAAGAGGCAAGAAAAATCAAATAAACAACCTAATCTTACACCTAGGGAGCTAGAAAAAGAAAACAAATGAAGCCTAAAGGAGCAGAAGAAGGGAAATAATAAAGATTAGAGCAGAAATAAATGATATAGAAACTAAAAACAGTAGAACATATCAATGAAACCAGGAGCTGGTTCTTTGGGAAAAAAATAATAAGAAATAGCCAGACATATCAAAAAGAACAAAGGACCCAAATAAATAAAATCACAAATGAAAGAGGAGAAATAAAAACTAATGCCACAAAAATATAAACAATTATAAGAGAATATTGTGAAAAATTATATGCCAACAAATTGGACAAACTGGAAGAAATGGATAAATTCCTAGAAATAAACTACAAAAACTGAAACAGTAAGAAATAGAAAATTTGAACAGACCAAAACCCAGCAAAGAAATTGAATCAGTAATTAAAAAACTCCCAACAAACAAAAGTCCAAGGACAGATGTCTTCACAGGTGAATTCTACCAAGCATTTATTAAAAAAAAAAAAAGTATTTATTTATTTTTTAGAGAGCACGTGCGAGAGAGAAAGAGAGCATGAGTGGGTGAGAGGAGCAGAGGGAGAAGCAGACTCCCAGCCCAGTGCGGAACTCGATCCCAGGACCCTGGGATCATGACCTGAGCTGAAGGCAGACGCTTAACTGACTGAGCCACCCAGGCGCCCTCTACCAAACATTTAAAGAAGAGTT